ATTTTCCCAAAGTTTGTCAAAAGAAAGCTGTAAAAGAGCATATAAATGAGTTTAAGAGGCATATTTGAAGTGACCAAAAGAAAACTTCACTCTAATAATTGAAACACAGCATCACGTTTCTTCACGAATGAAATGACTCAAGAGAAGTGGTATCTACTATGGGTTTTATAAGATGATTGATTCATTTACTCAACAAATATTTACTGATCACTTATTATGTGCTTTCTCCATCACCCCTAGCAGAATCACTCTGTATTGATACACCAAATATTCTATAGAAGTTAACAGAAGACACTGCAAATTGCCTGCCGATTAACTATTCTCCTCTTCTTTCTTACAAACACACTAATTTTAAGAAGGCACTTGCCTCCTCAGACACCTTAAAGCTGTGAGTCATGTGATCCAGTTATGACCAGTGACAGGCATGAAGAAGTCGTGGGTGAGAAACAAGTCAGCTGACTGGTGTCTTTTGCCCTTTTCCCTTCTTTGGGTCTAGACTCTATACATAATACCTGGAGAAGGAGCAATCAAAGCCACATGCTAAGGATAGCAGGCTAGGAAAGGTCCTGGATGGCTTCATGGAACTGCTGTACGAGACCTAGAACCTTTAACTTTGTATTACAAGGAAAAAATAAAAACAGACAAATGCAATCCTTTCATGTTTGCTTCCTACTCCTTCTTCTTTCCCATATCATGAAATTTTATCCATTCACTTAATATATTTTGGAGTTATCTATTACATGATAAAAGGGTAACTAATCTCTGATACGATTGTAGTTTCTTTAAAATCCTTTAAAGATCTCAGACTCAGGCCTGTAATCCAAGCACTTTGGAGGCCAAGGCGGGCGGATCGCCTCAGGTTGGGAGTTCAAGACCAGCCTGACCAACATGGTAAAACCCTGTCTTTAAAAATAAAAAATTAAAAAAATTGGGAAAAAAAAAAAAAAAAAAAGATCTGAGAAATTTCAAAGTAGCATAGTGTTTCAGACTTGGCAGATATCTTATATAATTATGGTGAGAGTGTAAATTAGCATCAACACTCCCCCCCCCCCCCCCCCCAGACAGAGGCTAGACCTGTTGCCAGGCTAGAGTGCAGTGGCGTGATCTTGGCTCACTGCAACCTCCACCTCCTGGGTTCAAGTGATTCTCCTGCCTCAGTCTCCCGAGTAGCTGGGACTGCAGGTGTGTGCTACCACGCCCAGCTAATTTTTGTATTTTTAGTAGAGATGGAGTTTCACTTTCACCATGTTGGCCAGGATGGTCTCAATCTCTTGACCTCACGATCTGCCCACCTCGGCCTCCCAAAGTGCTGGGATTACAGGAGTGAGCCACCGTACCTGGCCAGCATAAACACTTTAAAGAGCAATAGAGAAATATCTGCTTTAAAGCTTGAAGAAACACACTATCATGTGGCAATCCTACTTCTATCAAGTAAAGTTACATACAAATATGGAAGTCTGTACGTAAATATCTGTTGCAACATTGCCATAAAAGCAAAAAATTATATAACCTAGATATTCATTCCTCAAATAGGGAAATGGATAAATAGCCTCTATACAGCAATTAAAATGAAAGAAACAAATTCACATAGATCACTGTAGATACATTTCAAAAACAAAATAATAAGTGAAAAGAGCAAGTTACAAAAGGACAGGTACTATTTGTAGAAAAGTTATAAAATACACAAAATAAAGCTACATGTTGAGATGGCTATATACACAAGCATCAAAATCATAAATATGGGAATGACTGACAAAGATTGTGGTTGTTCCTGGAAATGGACGGAGAAGGAATAAGATGGAGAATGAAAGGAAAGAGAAGTACTGTTTCTATAATCTTTTTTTTTTATCAAAAGCAAATTTTGACAAACTGTTTTAAACTATTAAAATGTTGGGGCCCAGCACAATGGCTCATACCTGGAATCTTATCAGTTTGGAAAGCCAAGGCAGGATGATCACTTATGCCCACGAATTTGAGACAAGCCTAGGCAAAACAGCAAGACCCAATCTCTATCAAAAAGAAAAAAAAAATTAGCTGGGTGTGGCTGGTGTGTGCCTGTAGTCCCAGCTACGTGTGAGGATTGCTTGAGCCTAGGAGGCTAAGGCTGTAATGAGCTTTGATGGCACTACTGAACTCCTGCTGAGGCGACACACCAAGACCTTGTCTCAAAAAACAACAAAAAAACTCCAACAAACCAACAAATAAAACCACCACAAAAATAAAATGTTGGCTACACAGTGCTTTATACTATTTTTTATTTTAACTATTTCATCAAAATTAAGACTTGGCCAGGCACGGTGGCTCATACCTATAATCCCAGAACTCTGGGAGGCCAAGGTGGGCAGATCACGAGGGCAAGAGATCGGGACCATCCTGGCCAGCATGGTGAAACCCGTCTCTACTAAAGATACAAAAGTTAGCTGGGCATGGTGGTGTGCACCTGTAGTCCCAGCTACTTAGGAAGCTGAGGCAGGAGAATTGCCTGAACCTGGAAGGTGGAGGTTACAGTGAGCCGAGATTGCGTCACTGCACTCCAGCCTGGCGACAGAGCAACACTCCATCTCAAAAAACAAAAATAAAAAAGACACTCAAACAATCAGACAAACCTTAACGCTCTTGTGTCACCTCCACCTTGGCCAGCTGTGAGTACAAGAAAATTACTTAAAGCTTTCTAAGTGTCAACTCTTTAAAACTGAAACATAAACATCTATACCTCCAGAAGTAGCTGTGAAGATTTTTTTTTCTTTTTCTTTTATCTTAAGGGACTTTTTGAAAATAGCGCATGCAAAGTACTTTTACACAGCACTTGGGAGCTATTATTAATTATTTGGACCCTCTTCTGACCACAAACTTCAGCCACATAGGAAAATTCGGTTTTCTAAAGCTGCCATAACCTTTTTTACTCTGTTAACCCTGCCTAGTAAGCAATTGCTATTCTGTACCTTTTAAGATTCCTCACTTTCCTAATTTTTTTTAACTTTTACTTTAGGTTCAAGGGTATGTGTGCAGGTTTGTTATAGAGGTAAATGGAATGTCATGAGGGTTTAACATACAGATTATTTTGTCATTCAGGTAATAATAAACATAGTATCTGATTGGTAGTTTTTTGATCCTGACCCACCTCCCACCCTCCACCTGCTTTCCTAATTTGTAGAACAACTAAAATAACAGGCACGATCTCCTAGGTTGCCAATGATTGCATACAATACTACACATAAGGCCTTCAGAAGAGTAAAAACAGGCAAGCACTCAATGTTTGCCAATATTATTATATTATAGGCAAGATCTTACCTCCTTTATGCCCAGTTAAAATATCACTTCATTTTATAGTTTTATCTGATCCTTTCCCTATAAACAATTAACGGCTCCTTTTCTTGTGTTTGCACATTGTGTTAACACAGACTTCTATAGTAGCACTTACTGCCCAGAATTACAGTTATTCATTTACAAATCATCTATCCTACTAGTCTTATGAACTACTCCCCTAGGGCAGAATCATGGATTACTCACCTGCAGTAAGACACTCAAACATGTGCTGACTAAATTGAATAAACTGAAACGGCAACAAACTCTAGTCTAAATGTTGACAAATAACATCAATACTTTTCATGAGGTGGCTTTTACTAACAGCAAGTCTTATGTAGAATGTGAAGCAATATTTAATTAAAAATTCTATGAAGCATATTTTACCAACTTACAAAGTGAGATTTGGGCAAGGACATGATACATTTAACAGATGCTAAGGTACATGCATTGAAGAAGGATTAATAAATGCATTTACTTAAAAGACCATTTAAAATATAAGCTAAAACGAAAGATCCCAAAACAAAATTAGTCATGGATGTCAACCAACAATTCAGAGGCTGAAATGTTCAACCACCACTAGCAATCAAAGAAATTAAAATTCAAAAAGCAATGAGATTTTTAATCAAATCAACCAGCAAAGTTTTTATTTAGTCATAATGTTTGAAGGTTCTAGATATGGCAAAAGGAATTATGCTCATACACTGGCAGTATTAGCATAAACTAGGTAAAAGCACTCAATAACTATTCAATAAATATTTACTGGGTGCTTGCTTTACACTTGGAAACCTCATTATATAATTTTTCAAAAACAGGGAAACTATCATGGTAGCATGTTAAGTGTGAAAAGTAGGAAATAAAACTGTATTTTTTGTGTAATTCTAATTTACATAAATAAACGAATACATCTGTAACCATACCTAAAATATGGAAGGGAAGCCTTGGTTGGTCAATCTTTGCTGTAACATAGTAGGTAGGCTTGTTCCACCTCAGGGTCTTGGCTGTTTTTTGGCATAAAATTTTATTGGCATAAAAATCTTTTTTCTCTGGTATTTGCACAGCTTGCTCTCTCAGATCCTTTAAGTCTCTACTCAAGTACCACCTCTTCAATGACTCATTTTCTAGCAACTCAAAAAAAACTATGCCCACTCTCTTCCCCAAATTATTTTCCCTCCATACCTCCTTATCACCATCTACACTGTGTATTTCATTTACTAATCCTGTTTATTGTTTGATAATTATGATATGTAACCTCCATGATGGCAAAAATTTGACTTTGTTCACAGCTACATTCGCAATACTGAAACTAGTGTATAACAAATTGCATATACTCAATAAATATTTGTTGACTGAAATGAAATATGACAGGTGAAATATTGCCTGTGCCTAAGGGTATATTTCTGCAATAGAAGTTCTGTTTCCCAAGGAAACTTTCACCATTTTGAAAATGTCAACAGACTTAACAATTTCCAAAATGGGTTCAAATACTGAAATTATCACTTGATAACACTGAATTATCATTCGCTGTATGACAAAGGGATCTGAATTTTTGCCAATTTTTTTTTTTTTTTTTTGAGACAGAGTTTCACTCTTGTTACCCAGGCTGGAGTGCAATGGCGTGATCTCGGCTCACCGCAACCTCCGCCTACTGGGTTCAGGCAATTCTCTTGCCTCAGCCTCCTTTTTTTTAAATCTTCAGAGACAATGTTTTGCTCTGTCATCCAGGCTGGAGTTCACTGGTATGATCATATCTCACTATAATCTCAAACTCTTGGGCTCAAGTGACCCTCTCCCTAAGCCTTCTGAGTAGCTGGGACTATAAGCAAGCACCATTATGCCAGGCTAATCTCAAAGGGCTGGGATTATAGGCATTAGCCACTGCACCTGACCAGTGATGATTCTTTATATCAAATTCTTGATACCTTTGTCAAATAAGTAACATGAAATTTCATGTAGTTCCAGCTATACAAGAGGCTGAGGTGGGAGGATCACCTCTCTGGTGATCCTCAACACCTACTTCTTTGGTGTTGGTGAGTTCTTTATTAAGAAGCATGTAATATCTGGTTATTTATCTTTTTATTACTTCAATATTTCATGTTACTTGCTTGACAAAGGTATCAAGAATTTTTAATGACTTAGTATAGTAAAGAAAACCACACAAAACAAATGCATAGCTTAATACAGTAGAAGGCAAAAATGAAAAAGAAATTTAGCAGCTACCCCAAGAGAGCTATGCATGCCTTTTCCAATAATAATTCTCTTCTTTCCCAAAAATAACTATTAATCTGACTTTAAATAAAAAAAAATTTAATTGACAAGTAAAAATTGTATATGTGGCACACAAAATGATGTTTGTTTTAAAATATAAATTCAGTGTAGAATGACTAGATCAAGCTAGTTAATGTATGCATTACCTCACAATATCATTTTATTTGTAGTGAGAACACTTAAAAGCTATTTGGCAATTTTCAGGCATACAGAGTTATTAACAAGTCACCACGTAATACATATCTCTTGAACTTATTGCTTCCTTATTTTGTTGGTAGTTTAGTTTCACAAGTTTATTTTATTTTTAAGAGCACATTAATGTTATCCCCTCTATCCCTTCTTTTTCTTGCAATTATTTGTTCGACACCAAATCCACTGTCCTACACTATCTAGATACTGCAGACTATATTCTCATGTTCCTCTTTTTTGGTTTATCCTGTGAATCATTCCTTCATCAGATTCAGGTTCAATTTCTGTGGCAAAACTACTTCTCTGGTGTGAGTTCTTTATTAAGAGGTATGTGATATCTAGTTATTTCTCTTTTTATTAGCAGATGTTGATGCTCAGTATCAAAACCTTTACTTTTTTGGGATTTCAAAATGATGACATTCCCATTCTATCATTCATTCATCTGTGAATAGTTGGAACACTTTTACAAAAAAACACTTGGCCGGGTGCAGTGGCTCACACCTGTAATCCCAACGCTTTGGGAGGCCGAGGCGGGCAGATCACAAAGTCAGGAGTTCGAGACCAGCCTGACCAACACAGTGAAACCCCATCTCTACTAAAAATCCAAAATTTAGCCAGGCATGGTAGTGCACACCTGTAATCCTACTCGGGAGGCTGGGGCAGGAGAATCGCTTGAACCCAGGAGGTGGTGGTTGTAGTGAGCCGAGTTCGCGCCACTGCACTCCAGCCTGGGCGACAGAATGAGACCACATCTCAAAAACAAAAACCTCAAACTTTACTCATTTACTATTTTGTTACACAGTGTTAAAGTTCATACACAAAAGGAAGGATAAGTGCCTGACCCTTTATCTTGAGTCATTTTAACATGACTTTGATAACTTCCCTACTACCTGTAGTGACAAGATGATTCCTAGCTTGTCATGCTACAGAAATGAAATCAACCATTTTTTCGATTTTTTTGATTGGTTTAGTTTAGTGGGAAGCTGTATTTCAAGATCACAATCTGGGCATTGAGGATGCTCACAGGTACTGGGCTGACCAGTGTTTCTAAATCTTTTCAGCAAACATGCTTAGAAAAAATACACACACACACAAACACAAACACACACACATTTTTAACTTAAACAACAAAAAAAGACAAAACAAAACTCATGAGTTCACTCTGATAGTTCATGTTTTCTTAACCTTTTCTATCTTAGGTATTATTTGCTTTTCCCACACTGGGAAGTCTTGGTTTTCAGGACACGGATGATACAATTAGGATATCATATGCTACTTTGTCTCAAATTATATACAAAACATTTTTAGAATAACCATACTGACACCATTACCAATGTCTTTAAAGGAAAGTTTAAGTTTGTGTATGTGGCCCCTCGCGGTGGCTCACCTGAGGTCAGGAGTTCAAGACCAGCCTGGCCAACACATGGTGAAACCCCCTCTCTACTAAAAACACAAATAAATTAGCTAGGCGTGGTTGCAGGTGCCTTTAATCCCAGCTATTCGGGAGGCTGAGGCAGGAGAATCACTTGTACCTGGGAGGTGGAGGTTGCAGTGAGCAGAGATTGCGCCACTGCACTCCAGGCTAGGCAAGAAGAGCGAAACTCACACACACACACACACACACACACACTCTCTCTCACACATTCTCTCTTTCTCTCTCTCTGATTCCCTTTCTCTTTGACAACATATAATATGTTGTCAAAACACATAACTAATAAATACTATGCATTCTTCCTTGTATCCTTCATTTAGATTTAGCTACATATAAATACATATTTAATGCACACCAAATATTATTTTTAACTTTTTATTTTGAAGTAATGTAACACATACAGATATGTTATAAAAATAGTTCAAGAACTTCAAGTGCACTCTCACCCTATTTCCTAATGTTAAGAACTTACATAAGTAGAGTACAATTACCAAAACCAGAAAATTAACGTTGGTAAAATACTATTAAACAGGCTTTATTCAAATTTCACCAGTTTTCTCTCAACGTCCTTTTTTATTAGAGGATCTATGTCTCAGTGTATTTTTTTTTCCTTGGTTTCTTCCAACTTAGTCACATCCACTCCTGACGATTATTCTGATAGAATACCTCTCAATTTGGACTTGTTTGGTATTTTCAAGATTAGATTGAGGTTATATATTTTTGACAATAATTCCACAAAAGTTATGTGTGCATTGTATCAAGGGTTACATGTCAATATACCTAATATGCTTTGGATGTGTCCCCAGGGCCAGGAGGAGATAGTTGAATCATGGGGATGGTTTCCCCATACTGTTCTGGTGTAGTGAATAAGTCTCATGAGAAGTGATGGTTTTATAAATGGGAGTTTCCCAGCACAAACTCTCCTGCCAGCCACCAAGATGTGTCTTTGCTTCTCCTTTGCCTTCCACCATGATTGTGAGGCCTCCCTAGCCATGTGGAACTGTGGGTCCATTAAACCTCTTTCCTTTATAAATTACCCAGTCTCAGGTGTATCTTTATTAGCAGCATGAGAACAAACTAACACAACACCATACTGGTGAGGTTAGCTATTTGGTTAAGGTGATGGTTACTTCACTGTAAAATTGTGATTTTTACCTTTGTAACAGATAAATATCTTCGGAGAGATACTTTGAAATTATGCTAACATCCTGCTTCTATACAGACTTTCACCCATTAGTTTTAGTATCTATCAGGGATCTTGCTTGCAACAATCATTACTGTAGCATTTTCTTAATGTTTTAACTGATGTTCACTTGCAGGGAAAAGCTGCCCCTTCACCTTTATTTATTTATTCAAATTGTACTTACATAAGTCTGACTCATTATTCTAAGGGTTAAAATCTATCTTTATATTTTTGTTACTAAACTCTTACTGCTTTCAATATTGAGAAATTCCTTCCACTTCGCACCTATGTCCTAATGATATGCCCAAATCCCTTTTGAGCACATCCTTCTTTTCCAGCACTACCAGATGTTCCAGGCTCATCTTGTGTTTTCCCTGTCTGTTCTTGGAATCAATCTCTTCTCTAAGGAGTTCTGGTTCTTCTTACAGGACAATGACATTTTGAAATCAAAATCTGAAGGCTGTGCTCATTGTTACTGGGGTGTCACTGCTCTTAGGTTCCTCTCATAAACACATATATGTAGGTGTACTAACTCATACATGTGATTATATTTTCATTTAATTCTTTATCACCCACTACTGATGTTTTGTCTGTCATTTTGGCTACCTAAAGTTCATTTACAAGAAGATTCCTGTACAAAACACCTATGTTAAAAGAGATTATAGATATTGGTAGCAGCTTAACTGCAGTCCACCTGAAAGTCACGTTGGCTGGATATGAAGTCACTGGTTTACATTTTCTCCCCTCGAGAATCTCTCAAATACATTATGGCATTTTTCTTCTGGCATAAAGCACTGACGTAAGGCAGTCTGATTTTCCTTCCCTCATACGTAATTTGGTCTTTTTGTCTGGATGCCCAAAGTCTTTCTTTCTTCAAAGCCCTGTAATTTTACTAGAAAATATCTTGATGTTGGTTGGTCTGCATTGATTTTCCATCTATTTCAGAAAAGTGTTTTCCAACATAGTCTTTAAATTTTATCTGTCCTCTCACTTTTTCTTTTTTGTGGACACCTATCTCTTAGATCTTCTTTGGCTATTTTCAGACTACATTTTCTCTCAAATCCTTATAGCTTACGTTTCTTTTTTTTGTTTTGTTTTTTTTGTTTTTGTTTGTTTGTTTTTTGTTTTTTACAAATATACTTTCTATTTTTCTCTTTTGTAAAGGCATTAATTCTGAGTTTGTTGACTCAGGTGTTTATCTTAATCTTTTTAAAATTTTAACTCTTCTGAGTCCTACCACTTATTACAGTTTTTATATTTGATGGGCATGTATTTCTGAGAAGCTTTCATCGTCTGTATGAATGTTATTCTGCTTCTTGCTCTCTTCTGTTCTTATAATCATAGGAGATTTGAACTTGCTCCTTTTTAGTTGTGTTTTTATATATAAACAGATTCCCTAAATTTTTTTTAAAAAAGGCATTTTTATGATAGTTTTTCAATTTCATAACTTTAGAGCTCCTGTTATTATTGTGAAATACTCAAAATGTCAGCACGGAGCTTGATTTTGGAAAGCTTTGGGTAGTGAGGACTGAGAATTCATGAGGCCCATAGTACCTAAGAATCTTTAAGACCTTTGTTGTACATTTTGTCTACACGTTGTTGTTATTGTCATCAATATGTTCCTTTTATGGGGGAATTTGCAGAGACTCAAAAATTCACACCACTATTATTTTCCAAAACTCATGAGGGATAAATTTTCTCCTTCTTTTTTTTTTTTTTTTTTTTGAGATGAAGTCTCGCTCTGTCACCCAGGCTAGAGTGCAATGGCACAATCTCAGCTCACTGTAACCTCTACCTCCCAGGCTCAAGTGATTTTCCTGCCTTAGCCTCCTGAGTAGCTGGGGTTATAAAGCACCCACCACCATACCCAGTTAACTTTTTTGCATTTTGAGAAGAGACAGGGTTTCACCATGTTGGCCAGGCTGGTCTTGAACTCCTGACCCGCCTGGGCCTCCCAAAGTGCTGGGATTACAGACATCAGCCACCACATTTGGCCCCAAATTTTGTCCTTCTTATTTAAACCAGAGCAAACTCAATCAGAGCAAATAACTACAACAGTTCCTCCAATCATGAAGTATTTCTTCTTTCTCCTTTTCTTCCTTGCTTCCTTCCTTCCCTCTTTCCCTAATAAGGAAAAATCTTTCATATAAGAAGCACTATAGGCCAGGCATGGTCACTCACACCTGTAATCCTAAGATTTTGGGAGGCCAAGACAGGCAGATGGCTTGAGTGCAGAAGTTTGAGACCAGCCTGGGTAACATGGTGAAACCTTGTCTCTACAGAAAATACAAAAATTATCTGGGCATAGTGGTACATGCCTGTAGTCCCAGCTACTCAAACTCAAGAGGCTGCGGTGGGAGGACTGACTGAGCCCAAAAGGTGAAAGTTGCAGTGAGCCATGTTTGAGTCACTCAACTCTAGCCTGGAGATGAGCATAAACTTGTCTTAATTAAAAAAAAAAAAAAAGAAAAAAAAGAAAGAAAGAAAGAAAGAAAGAAAGAAAGAAAGAAAGAAAGAAAAAGAAAGAAAGAAAAGAAAGAAAAAAAAGGCTTACTCTGTAATCCCAGTGCTTTAGAAGGTTGAAGAGGGAGGATCCCTTGAGGCCAGGAGTCTAAGACTGAGCAACATAGCAAGACCTCATCGCTACAAAAACAAATTTTTAAAAATTAGCTGGACATGGTGGCACACACCTGTAGTCCAAGCCACTTGGGAAGCTCAGGTAGAAGGACTGCTTGAACCCAGAAGTTCAAGGGTAACAGTGATTTATGATCATGCTACTGCACTCTTATCTTGGGCAAGTGAGTGAGCCCTTATCTCTTAAAAAAAGTTCTTGAGTTACTGAGAATGATAGAGGAGCTAAAAAAAATTATTTAAGTTCTCAAAAAAAAAAAAAAAAAAAAA